TATTATTTGCCGCGACAATTTTGCGGTATACTAACATTGTCAATTTTCTCGTTAGTGTTGTTTTGCTTCCTTACTTAACTAGCCTAGAAAAAAAACAAGGTCATACACGATGGTGGCTACTGGCATAGGGATGACCTCGACCTCTTCAACGAGTTTGCTATCCAAATGATTTCAAGTTGCCACAGCAAAAAGGAACGAAAAGAGATCTCATTCTACTACCATTCAGCTTCATGCGGAGAGCACTTTGAAAAAGAGAGGACTACTGTAAAGGTCATACAATTCAGATGTGAAAGATGCGAAATGCCAGGGCAAAATATTTTGAAGGCGAAACTATTATATGTGTGGGGCATTTTGGTCTATATTGGTGCTCCGATCGAACGTGACAAATCTGCCCTCCTCTTGCACGATATCGAGTCTTGCCAAACATCTTGAAGATGCCGTTACATTTTGGATTTACTATTGTGCATAAATAAATGTTTATTTTGTTACTGCTTTTATTCAATTTTCTTTTAATTGAATATTTTATTTTTCTTTACAAGGTTAAGGTCCATCCAAATTTCAACCGTACCAGCATCAGATTTTGAACACTCCAGGCCCACACAATTTTAAAAGCGCACACATCGCACGACCTCTGCACCACCACAAGCATGAAGTCAAGGTACCTTGCATTGCATTGAATTTCATAGCATGTAGTTTAGATTTTCCTTAGTTTTTATTTAGCATTGAGGACAATGCTTCTCTCAAGTTTGGGGGAGGTAGGGTTCTTAAATCATGCATGATAGTATTAGTAGAATGAATATGCCATGACATTAGTAAGTGGTTGAATTAGTTTTCTGGAATAAATTAAGGATGTCCGATGATGATGAATTCTTGATGGCTAGGATTAAATGTACATGATTGTTGAGGGTGATAGAACCAACTCTAGGACTTGCTTCTTTTAAACCTTTGAATACATATTGTGTTTTTCATGCTTAAGGAACTTAGAAATTTTTTATAAGAGAACTCTTGCATGTCTTGGAATAAACGATGAAAACCCCACTTTGTAAAAAAAATGAAGTTGTGAATAAATGCTTCGGCATATCTGTAGAGGGACCCTCCGCTATGGCATGGCATTTCCTGGAAACTACAAATAAATAAATGGCAGCTTTGGTATATGAGTGAATGAAAGTAGTCACCTAGAGTGTGTGATCGTAGGTGTGATGGGTTGACTCCCCTCGTAGCAGTGTTAAAAAAAGCAAAAGGAAAAGAAAACAATGTGGGAGTAAAAATTGTAAATGTCGTGGCAAAACAAGAAAACTTGCGTAGAAAATTTTTAGGTTGTTAAGCATGGACTGGATACAAACACACACCCACACAAAGAATCTTGCCCTAGGGGACAGTACTTGATTTCTCAAACTAGTCTAGCATGTTGAAGCCAAATATTCTGAGGGCTGAAATTTTATCCCATATAACTATTATGCTTCTGAACTTGCCATGGTATTTTTATTTTGCTTAATACTATCCATTGCTTGAGGACAAGCAATAGCTTAAGTTTTGGGGTGTGATAACTCCGTAAAAAGGTCATATTTGAGACCTTTTCACTTAAGTTATTGACTGTCTAAAAGCTCATATAGGATCATATAGATCCATTTAGGAGCATATAGTTGCATGTGGTGGAGTTCTGTTTGCCAAGGAATTTTTATTTTGTAATCAGTGCTGCTTTATGGGGAAGGTGTTTTGTTTGATGATATGCAGGATTTTGGAGCAATGATAAGCAAAAGGGAATTTCCATGACATGATGAGACTACTGAGCAAAATGTGATTTCTGTGACAACTCGGACGATATTTCTGGGCAGAAAAAGTCAAAGAAAATATTTTTAGTAAGAGCCAGCTGTCATGGCATAAAACGTGATTTCTGCAATCAGCCATAAAGGAGGGGCCAATTACCATCTTTGCACCGACTCTCACATTAAAAGGAATGAACTTTAGGGTACTAATGTAATTTTAACACAAAACCCTAGGTTCATTCTCCCCTATAAATAGAAGATGAAGCATGACTTTTTAAAAGGACTTTGGAGAATTTTAGACAGCCGCCAAGAGCCTAAAAATTCGGAGAAAATGATCTCTCTTTTTTCTGTCAATTATTTTTTCCGTGGTATTCCTCCGTTGACAAGCTAGAGGGAGTGGCGAACTAGGCGTCCGAGAGGAGCTAGAACGCTGGGACAGTTCGTGGTGGTCGAGGGAAGCTCCGGCAGAGCACGTCGAAGGCTTTTCCTCCTTCCCTTTTCTCTTTGCTTTCATATTTTATCGTTTTGGTTGTAAGGAACGAATTAACTTGCTTTGTGCTTGCTTATTTCGAACCCCCACCATGAACCAATCCTATTTGGTGGGAGTTTATTTTGGACATTTAAGTTTTGCTTTAATGAATGATTATTTTTCTATGTTATATTCTGTTTTGTTTATGAAGCTTAGTACCTTAAGGTTGTAGGAGCTACGAGAGTAGTCGTTCCTTAGGAGATTACTTAGTGTTCGAGAGAATGTCTAGGTAGCACATCCTTAGTGTTCGAGAGAAACTAGGGAGGAACCACATAAGCAAGGGGTTCTAGATAGTAACTAGGCCTAATCCACCTTAGAGATAAGGCTAGGATTTCATTCGACTAAAAGGAGTTGTGCATGAGCGATAGGTTAGATGTTAATGCTGTCGCAAAAAGGTATTGCCGAGACATATCCTGTTATCTGGACCAATAGGATCACTGTAGAGGTTTATGCTAACCGGTTTTGGCAAGGCATCTTCACTCTGTCATGTCCGTTACTAGAGATAGCATAGGGCACCCTAGTAGACTCTGTCGGGCAGATTAGGCATAGAAGTAAGATCATTCTGAGGAGTGGACTTAAATTTTCCTTAGTGACTCCTATCACTCATTCCCATAGTAGCTTGTCGTGTGAGGAAGTCTAAAGTCCTGATAATCAAATCCATTATTTACATTTTATATTGCCTTTGCATTTCCATTTGTTTGCACTAAACATAATTTAATTTGTCACGAAATCTCCATCCATTTTACCACAACATTCTCATTTGTGAATATCATTAGCTATACTTAGTTACTTTAGAATAGTGCATAAAGTTACTCAAGATCTCTCCAATCCCTGTGGATACGATACTCACCCATCACTGTGTTACTTATTCGATTGTGTATATTTGCACATATTTCCGCACCTATATTTAGTACTCACAAATCGCGGACAATTAGCACTATTAGTATTGCATCACTAAGTCATCAACTTAGTATGTGTTTCTCATGCGTAGGTTTGATGAAAACTGAAGATTGATTAGGGCGAAGGATAGCGTACACTTCTGAAGATCAGATCAGAAAAAACTAAACGTAGGTTTTTGTTCATTTTGTATATTGTGGGCATGTATTATACTTTTAAATTGAAATGCTCTGATAAGTTTTTGTAAAATGTTACTTTTGGATATTAAGTAAATTATTAAGATTTTATATGAAATGGTTTTGTATTTAGAGTGGTTATAATTCTTTATCTTGATTAGGATAACAAATTTTAAATATATGACTATTGTGAATTTTCATATGTTTTGAAAAGTCCAATGTGACACCTCGGATCTGTATCTGGGTCGGGTACGGGTCAGGGGTGTTACAATATACATATAATCATATACATAGCTTACATAATATAAGTTGAATAAAACATTGTAAATATAACATAAAAGAATTTGTAAAGTTTTCGATCGAAAACACTGAGGTTGGCTCATCGCAAGCCTTCCCTAATTCTAATACGAAATTGAGAAGTTGCACTCACCTTTGCCTCATTGAAGTTCTAACAAAGTCCTTAATACTTTTGATTGAAACTTATAATGTCGAGATGACGTAAGTTGATTATGTTCAACTACACAAACGAATCGAAAATCAATATCATACTTCGAATCACTTATAACCAGTCATAATAACTTATGTAGAAAAAACACTTAATTTCTCATTTCATGCTTAGTAGTATCGGTACTACCACTACAGTACCGATACTTCCCTTAAATGGTATCGTTACCCCCTACGTACCGATACCATTTTGACGTTCTGGAAATTTATCTTGAAAATGGTATCGATACTATACCCTTGGAATCGATACTCCCAACTCAGTATAGATACCCTCTTCAACCAGTATCGATACAATAATTCGAATTCCACTAATTTTGCCTTTAAGTATCGATATTGTTCTTCCAGTACCGATACTCCATGCCCAAAATTGCTATTTCCATTTTGAAAATCAAAACTTCCTAAATCTCTTACTTTTATCACTCATTAAGCCTTCAAACTTAACCTTTTACATCCAAACCAACTTATCTTCATTTACTACTCTTAAACATACAAAATCTCACTAAAACTCTTACATCTAAAAATCATATCATGTTTTCAACGAAGTTATTAATCATTTCTATTACTCCCAATTCTTTAGTTTGCTTATTGACAAGTCAAGTTCATCACTAAAACTCCATAAACTACACCAAATCAAATATTCATTTCAAAACCCATTTTACAATTCCATTTCTAATTTACTCCTCTTGTTGTTTTAATCCTATTCAAGTTTTCCTTAATCTTATATAACACCCAAGCTTTTAATACCAAACCAAAAATTGAAGGAACCAACAAATTTACAAAACTTACCTTTGAGGGAGGAGTTCGCGGCACAAAGAAGAGAACAAGAACTAGGTTCCAGACTTTCCCCCTTTCCATGTGCTTATCCCTTAATAAATGAGATAATTATCCTTTAACATGAAAATACCATAATGCCCTTTCCACTAATCCAAAATTACTATCAAGCCCTACACAGAAATTCCACCATAAATCCTTGAATTTATCAAATTATTCTAATTCAATAATTGAGTTTAAAATTCTTACATTCTGGTCACTGACTCGATGATTGAGATGTTACAAATCTCCCCCTCAAGAAAATTCATCCTCGAATTTTCATTGCACAAAGAGGTGGGGATATTGCTTCTTCATATCTTATTCAGGTTCCCAAGTATCTTCTTCCACTTTATGATTTCTCCAAAGAACCTTAACTAGTGGAATCGTCTTGTTCATTAACTGCTTGTTCTCATATGCTAGAATCTGCACTGGTTCTTCCTTATAAGTTAGGTCAGATTGAATTTCTATCTCATCCGGAGTTATAATGTGCGTAGGATCTGATCGATAATGCAGAAGCATAGACACATGAAAGACATTGTGGATCTTTTTCATCTCTGGCAGTAACGCTAATTGATATGCCACTGGTCCAACTCTTTTCAGAACTTCATAGGGTCCAATAAACCTTGGACTGAGTTTTCCTTTACGCCTAAAACGAAGTACTTTCTTCCAAAGTGATACCTTCAGAAAAACCTTGTCGCCTACTTGGAATTCAATTTCTTTCCTTTTCAAATCCGCTTAAGATTTTTGTTTGTCTGAGGCAACTTTAAGGTTGTGCTGGATCACCTGAACCTTTTCTTTAACTTCTTTCATCAAGTCTGGACCATAAACCTCCAGATCTTTCAATTCATACAAATTATGTGGCGTTCGACACTTCCTTCCATACAATGCCTCATACGGTGCCATCTTGATACTTGATTAATAACTGTTATTATATGCAAATTCCACCAGCGGAAAATACTTTTCCCATGATCCAGAGAACTCGATCACACACGCTCTCAACATATCTTCTAGAATCTGAATTGTTCGTTCTGATTGGCCATCAATTTGAGGATGAAAAACAGTGCTAAAACTTAATCGGGTACCCAAAGCTCCTTACAAAGACTTCCAAAATCTCGAAGTAAATCTGGAATATCTATCAGAAACTATTGAGATTGGAATACCATGTAGTCACACTATCTCCTTGATATACAATTCAACATATTTTTCCATTGAAAAATCCGTTCGTACAGGAATGAAATGCATAGTCTTTGTAAGACGATCTACAATTACACAAATTGAATCCTTTTTACTTGGCTATAAAGGCAAACCTGTTACAAAATCCATTGTAATTCTTTCTCATTTCCACCGAGGAACTGAAATCAGTTGCAATAATCCCGAAGGCACTTGATGTTCAGCTTTTACTTGTTGATAATTAAGGCACTTTGATACAAACTTCGAAATGTCTCTTTTCATGTCTGGCCACCAAAAACGCTCTTTCAAATCTTGATACATATTTTTTCCATCAGGGTGCATACTTAAGGGACTACAATGTGCTTCATACAATATATCCCTTTTCAACTTATCATCATCAGGGAGAAACTCGATTTTTAAAGTGTAAACACCCATTTGACTTTACATCAAAGTACTTGATTTAAACCTTATCTAAGTGTTCAAACCAGACTATACACTTATCATCCTTCTTTTTCAACTCCTTAATCCGCTCTAATAATAACAATTTCAACCTCAACTCATCCATCAATGCACCATTGTCCTTTAACACGATTCAGACATCCAAACTGCACAAAGAGGCAAAAGTTTTCCGACTAAGAGCGTCAGCTACTATATTGACTTTCATGGGATAATAATCTATAATGGCATCATAGTCCTTTAGTAATTCCATCCATCTTCTCTGTCTCAAATTAAGTTCCTTTTGCATCAACAAATACTTCAAACTTTTGTGATCAGTATAAATGTAGCAACGTTCACCATATAAACAGTGTTGCCAAATTTTTAATGAAAAGACTACCGCTGCTAGCTCAAGGTCATGTGTCGGATAATTCTTTTCATGGGGCTTAAGTTTTCTTGAAGCATAAGCAACTAACTTTCCATCTTGCATTAAAACACATCCCAAACCATTATGGGAAGCATCGCTAAAAATCGTGAAATATTTGTTCGATTCCGATTGTACCAACTCCGGAGGTTCTGTTAAAACTTTATTCAATGAGTCAAAACTCTTCTGACAATCAGGAGTCCACTCAAAAGACACATATTTTCTTAACAATTTAGTTAAACGCAGATATATCATCGAAAAGTTTTTGACAAACCTTTGATAATAACTTGCGAGGCCCAAGAAACTCTGAACCTCTGACACATTCTTCGAGATTTCCCACTCAAATAAATCTTTAACTTTCTAAGGATCTACCCGAATTCCCTATGCAAAAACTACATGTCCAAGGAAGATGACTTTTGTTAAAAAAACTCGCACTTAGAAAACTTTGCATAAAGTTTATTATCTTGCAATGTTTGAAGACGAAGATGGACATCATGCTCCTCCCTTGACTTTGAATACACTAAAATGTATTCAATAAAAATGACCACGAACTGATCAATGTACAGTTGGAAAACTCTGTTCATTAGATCCAGAAACGCTGCAGGTGCGTTCGTTAACCCGAATGGAATTACTACAAATTCATAATGACCATACCGAGTCCTAAACGCCGTTTTTGGAACATCTTTTTTTGTATCTACAACTAATGATACCCTGAACGTAAATCAATTTTTAAAAACACAGAATCTCTCTTGAGTTGATCAAATAAATTGTCGATCCTTGGAAGATGATACTTGTTCTTTATGGTCACCTTGTTAAGTTGCTGATAATAATTACAAAGGAGTATAAAACCGTATTTCTTATTTAGGAATAACACTGGAGCACCCCAAGGTGACACACTAGGTCTAATAAATCCTTTATATAAAAGCTCCTGCAACCGAATCTTTAATTCTTTCAATTCTTTTGGGGCCATCCTGTAAGGAGCCATTGAAATTGGTGCTGATCCTGGCATTACTTCGATCTAAAATTCAACCTCTCTATCTAGAGGTAATCTCGATAATTCTTCTGGAAATACTTCTGGAAATTCTCTGACTGTCTGAATATCTTCAAACTTCCTTTCTTTGGATCTAACATTGATTACATTGGTAATATACGCTTGACATCTTTGTAGCAATAACTTCCGAGCCGACATCCATGATATCACATTAGCTAAATGATTGATTCTTTCGCTGACCACACTAACCTCCAATCTATCAAAACTTTTCATCATAACTTTCTTAAGTCGACAATCCACGTTGGCGTGATAATGATAAAGCCAATCCATTCCTAGTATAACCTCGAACTCGTCAAAAGGTAATTCCATTATATTAGCAGGGAATTCAATTCCCTGAATCAATATGGGACACCCTCAAACTCGTCACCCGAACACTATGTCCTAATACATTTGTCATAATCACCACGTTACGAATAGATTCTAAATAAATCATCAAGTCTTTAACCAGTTTACTACTAACATAGGAATAATTCGAGCCCGGATCAATCAAAACTAAAACAGGTTTACCAGCTATCTGAAAAGTACCTGCAATTATTTCAAGATCATCACAATCTTCACTGGTCTTTAGATTGTACACTCTAGTGGTGGAACGCACTTCAGGTTGAGTGGTCGACTCAGACTGATTTCTTCCTCTACTTCGACCTCTACCTCTCATAGGTGCTACATTGGATCTTTCTGTTTGGGTAGGCTCTCCCTTCATCAAAGGATAATCCCTAATAAAATGTCATGCCCCTTCGCATTTAAAGCAAGCTCCAAAGACTCTTCGGTATACACCACTATGTTGTTTCCCATTTTACTTACATTGATTTGGCTTATCCAATCCAGACTCCACTGAGTGAGTTTGTTTGGCTCTTCTTTGATTTGATCCTCTACTTGAGGATGCTTCTGATTCTACTCTAGTTTAAGGTCGAGAATTCGAACCTTGACTTTTCTTTGATTGGGAGGCACTGGACGACACATCATCTTTCTTATTCCATCGTGTTTTTTACTCCACAAACCTCTCATTTTGAGCCATTTCTCACGCTTTAGCTCTATTCACTACCTCTTGAAACGAAGAGAGGTTAAGCGCCAACAACAACTCTTTTAGTCGGGGGCGTAAACCCTCCACAAACCAATCACAAGAGTCATTCTCTGTAGGAACCAACTCTGCAGCAAATAGACTCAACTTGTTGAATTCGTACTCGAACTCATATACTGTGCGATTCCCTTGCTTTAAACTCATGAATTCTTACTTCATCTGACTTATGAACTGATCCCTATGTATTTGTTCTTAAATTCCTCCAAGAAAAAAGACCATGTCATCTAATCCCTTGTAACTTTCATAGTCACATTAGACCACCAAATTCTAGCTTGACCTCGAAGTAACGAAACTACCCCATCTAGCTTTTCTATTTTAGAACAATAGAGATTTTCCAACATTATCTTAAGGTCATTGAGCCACATATCAGCAACAACTGGACATTCCTCAGATTCTCCTCTAAATTCAGGTGCTCCTAAGTTTCTCAGCTCCTTAGGAACATTTATCTTAGGGGCTAAGGGAGAAGATGGTTGGAAACACATCAAAATTGCATCCAACCTCTGGAAGAAGGTCCCTTGATCTTGCACAGACACTCCCTGATGCGTCTGTTCCTCAACCTGCCTGCTCGGGATAGGTGAATTACTACTTTCTTCCAGTCTATCTCTCGATTCACTTTGAGAGTTCTCAAAATGCGACATCTAATAAGATCAATTCACTAATATATTAGCAAGGATAACATACTAATCACCTTATCAGATCAGAAAGACTTGATTAAAAGTTGGCATGTACACTTTTTAAAACAAAAACGACTTTATTTCAAACTTAAAACCAATAAAACCATAGCTCTAATACCATTAAATATAACACCCCTAACCCATACCCGATCCAGATACGAATCTGAGGTGTCACATTGACTTTTCTAAGCGTAAATAATTAACAAATAATGATAATTTAAAATTATTTACTCATAAATAAAATATGGATACCCTTAATTTACAATAAGATAATAAAATTTACATTCATATATATACAACAAAGTTTCAATAATTTATATAAATACAACAGTAGTAGTTTACAAAATATAGAACATATCATTTCAAATTAAACATGTAGTACATGCCAACAATTTACAAAATTAAAAGAACCTACATTTAATTTGTCTTGATCTAATCTTCGTTGGAGTATGCTATCCTCAACAAATCAACCTTCAAACTTCTTTAAACCTACGCGTAAGGAAATCACACGCTAAGTCGATGACTTAGTGAGGCAAAACTAAAGAGCACTAACTCTACAGATGAAATCTTCATATATATATATATATATATATCGAGACATTTCATAAGGAATTCCAAATTATTTTCCATATCCAGAAAATATACTTATGCATATTATTCATTTTGTATAACTTTGTTTCCAAATGCCCAACGTATACTACTGAGAACTCTAGATATTTGAGTACATTGAGGTTGTGTACTAATCCTGTCACCACAGTTTGTAATTTGCATCGAAGTGCCACATAATTGTCCAGAATGACCACATATGACCCTCGACTCTTGGCATGCCAACTATACCTCTAATCCTCATACATATACCTTGGGCTTTTAACCACATAATTATTTGTTATTCGTTATTCAAAGTATTTCTTATTCACATATGCACTTTCACATTGAGTCTTTTCAAATGCTCATGTTCAAAGGTCTCATTTCCATAATCATATACATATAATCATACACATAGCTTACATAATATACGTTGAATAAAACATTATAAATATAACATAAAAGAATTTGTAAAGTTTTTGATTG